TTTATTAAAATTCGTCCAATGAATTTAATTATTCAAAAATTTGTTGATAAAATTTTTAAGAGGAATTGAATTCCAAGAAATTCCAAGTTTAAATTTTAGATAATAATTGAATATTAAATGCAATAGAGCGTGAATTTTTAAAAAAGAATTAAATTTTGTAATTAATTTTTTTGAAAAAGTTTAATTGATTTTTTAAAATATTATTTCTAGTTTCTATTTTCTAATATATATTTAATTAAAGAATTTACGAATAATTGAAATTTCGTAAAATTGAATATTGTAAAGAAATGAATTTGAAAATTGTCAAAGAACTTTTTCGAAAATTTAAAAAAATAATCGAAGAATTTTAGTTTTAAATTCTTAAAGATAATAATTAAATTGATAATGATTTTAATTATTATAAATTATTTTTATTAATAATTATTATATTTATTTCTTATTATAATATAATTATGATTATAAAAGATTTTTTAATCAGATTTAAAAAAAATTAATTATTCTTTTACGATCCTTTCATCTCATTATTCAAATATAAATCCAGGTCTTTATCAAATAGATATTTCTCGATACATAACGTCGGTCAAGTTGCTTTTTCATTTTTATTGTTTCCGAGAGTTATATTGATTATTTATTACATTCATATGTAACTGGAAAAAGCTTTAACTGTCAGATATTGGAAAATCAAGCTTATGATTAAGTATTTATATTCTTACTTGATTTCACACAAATATATGTTATATTTTATATATATAGACGATAAATTATTATTTGAATTCTGAATAAGTATTTTATATACGCATGCAATATATTTCAAAAAAAAAAAGAAAAAAAATCTACTAGTGCTTTATAGCTACTCTAACAAAATATAAATCTAACGGATCACTTGATATGATTTTCGCGCTTGAATAAATTACATTCTCTCTCTACACACACGGAACGTGGATCATTTTTCTTCTTCTTCTTTTTTTTTTTTGTTTGTTCTAAAAATTTCCATTCAGCTCATAGTTTGCAATTCCCACTCAAACTTAAAGCGTTTGGAAAAGTTGATAACGAAAAAGAGAATGAAAAAACTTTTGGTTTCAAAGTAATGAAAAAGTTTTTAAAAGGTGGTTCATCCTCTATTCTCTCTTGGGATTTTTTTTAATAATAACTACAACGTAAATTATCTGGGTTTTTTTGAACATTTTTTTTGGTTGTAGTTTTTCTTTGAAATTTTCAGTTTATTATTATTTTTTTTTATTTTTAAAGACTCTTTGACTGTAGTTTTTCTTTGAAATTTAAAGTTTATTATTAGTTATTTGTTATTTATTGTTATTTATTTTTTTTCTTATTAGGTGATTAATTTCTTTTTCTATTATTATTTTTTATCGTTTATTAATTTTTTTTATTTGAGAAGGAAATTAATAATTTCGTTTCTTGAAGGAAAATAATATTTTCAAGAGAATATGTTTAAAATATTTTTATTGTATTATTAGTTTTGTTTATTGGAAATATGTCGAAAGCTAGGGGTTTGAAATTGATTAAATTTCTTTCGTTTATTTTTGACAGATTGTTTCCATTGGATAAGAGTTTTGTCTCTCTCTCTCTCTCTCTCTTTTTTTTGCTGTTTTTTTTATAAATGTATTTGATTGAAGTTTTGATTTGAATATGATTTTGTTTTGAGGCTTTTATGATCAATTTGGAGTTGAATTGTTTGACAGATACAAAAGAGAGAGAAAGAGAGAGAGAGAGAGAGAGTTGGAGGGACTTGTTGCTTTTCAAGTTTCGATACACGTAGTGACTATGTGGGGCTTGTATAACAAGATCGACCTGTATGCAAATTTTATTATAATGATTTTGACCTACTACCTTACAAACACTTTGGGTGTCTTCACTTTAAACGCTTTACTAATAATGGCAACGTTTTATTATATAGTGACTTAACGAACCCCTTCTTAGTAGATGCCTAACAGAGAAAATTATCACCACACGTTTTCCAAGGGAAGGCCATCTTTTCCATCTAAATCATTTTCTTAAAAGTTTCTCTTTATGACTCTCTTTATTTTTATTCTTTTTCTTATTTGTAATATTATTCTTAATTTGACACATCTTTTGTCTCGGGAAGTTTTAATTGAAATTCATTGTTATTAACAATTTATTGTCGCTTGGCGAACAATTTTTTTTCTTTTACTCTTTTTTTTTAAAGGTATTTGAATCCTTAAAGAGTAAACTATTTGTAAACTATTTTATTTTTAAAACCAAAATAGTCTTTAATTAGAAAACGAAAATGATTTGTTGTCTTTTTTGAGAAAAGTGGGGGTAAATAATATAAAAAAAACACTGTTTCCCATTTTTTTCAAAATCCTGATGTGATAGACAATTTCTAGACCCAGGATCGTTTTCAGCGGGCGAAAATACATTGAAAACCATTCCCATATCGAAAATGAAAAAAAATTTTTTTTTTGGGTTTCAACCCTCACTTTTTTCAAAATCTTGACGTACCAGACAATTTTTAGATTCGGGATTGTGTTCAGCGGGCAAAAATACTTTGAAAACCATTCCGATATCGAAAATAACAAAAACAAATTTTTTTCTGGGTCTTTACCCCCACTTTTTTCAAAATCTTGACGTACCAGACAATTTTTAGATTCGGGATCGTGTTCAGCGGGCAAAAATACTTTGAAAACCATTCCGATATCGAAAATAACAAAAACAAATTTTTTTCTGGGTCTTTACCCCCACTTTTTTCAAAATCTTGACGTACCAGACAATTTTTAGATTCGGGATCGTGTTCAGCGGGCAAAAATACTTTGAAAACCATTCCGATATCGAAAATAACAAAAACAAATTTTTTTCTGGGTCTTTACCCCCACTTTTTTCAAAATCTTGACGTACCAGACAATTTTTAGATTCGGGATCGTGTTCAGCGGGCAAAAATACTTTGAAAACCATTCCGATATCGAAAATAACAAAAACAAATTTTTTTCTGGGTCTTTACCCCCACTTTTTTCAAAATCTTGACGTACCAGACAATTTTTAGATTCGGGATCGGGTTCAGCGCACATAAATACATTGAAAACCATTCCCATATCGAAAATAAGAAAAAAATAATTTTTTTGGATTTCTACCCCCACTTTTCTCAAAATCCTCTATTTTTTGGTCTTGAGTCTTGATTTAAGTTTAATTCAAACATATTTTTTGGTTCATTTAAAAAAATATATTTAATTTAAACATAAGTTGTGGTTGATTTTAAATTATTTATAATCAACTTTTAAAAGTTTAATAGCAAAGATATTTTAAGTTGGATTTAAACAAAATATGTTTGAATCAAATAAATCGTTTTCTCAGTGCGAAATAGCGTTCAACGGGCAAAAAACACTCCGTTATTGAAAGTAAAAAAAGTCAAATTTCGGAGAACTGTGTTATTCATTAGAGAATTTGAAATTAAAATTTGTAAATTAATTCAGAAGCAAACAATTTAAATTCCTTAAAAAAGAAAATAAAAAATTGAAATGTTTCATGAATATATTTGAAGCATTTATTTTTAAGTGATATATAGAATTTTATGTATATAAATGTAGAGAGAGGTGAGAAAAATTTTGTAAACTCGCAGTAGTGCTATTTTCATTTCAACTCATGGCGAATATTTTAAATTTGAAATTTTCACTTAGAATCATCCAAAGGAGTATATAATCTTGAATTTCGGAGATGAGAGAGCGAGAGAAATATATATATTACTCTTCTTGCTCTTCTGGGACATGTGAGAGAAATTTGTTCCGATTTCGGAGGTCATCCCTCTGCTTCTAACTTTGATTTGAGAGGAAAGACAGACAACATGACCTCTTATTTCTTTTTCGTCTACTTCTCATCTACTGCAATAACCTTGCTCCAGATAATTTGGAAAATTTGTCCCTCTTTAATTCATATCCGGTTGTAAAGATTGACATCTAAATGTGTAAAAATTTAATGGAATGATGATATATTTACTTTGTCTCGTGCGTCAAAATTTTGGACACTTCTAAAAGTATTCTCTTAGAATTTTTTTCTTCTTTTTCTTCACTTGTATTTGATTTTTTAAAAATTTGATTTTCGTTATATAGAAATGTTTGTTTTGAAAGTAGTTTGATTTCATGCTTATGATCATAAATTGTGGATTTGATTATTTATTGAACTCGATTTGATTCACTTAGTTTTTTTTCCAAAATATATTATGCACTGAATGCTCGCTTTGATTCACTTAGTTTTGTCTCTAAAATATATTATGCGCTGAATATTTTTTTTGCGATTCATCTACTACTTAGGGTTAATGTTTTTTTTATCATAATTCACTAAGGGCGAGGTTATTGATATCCAATATAGTAGTTTGCTATTCCCGACTCGAAGATGAAGATAAAAAAATGAGTGCATTCTGTTATTGATCAATGTTTGGTATTTTCTTGTCACTATTACATATTGGAGCATATAGCAGAATATGTATTGTATTATATTACTGGGAAATATTTTTCATGACTTTTAGCTTCAGGCGAGGCTTTAGGTGTAGAGAGAGAAGGTACTTTAGAAATTGAATGCAGCAATTATTTAGAGGGAAAAGTTTCCAATAAAATCCGTTTCTTTTTAAACATTGGGATTGGTAATTAAACTTCTGTTAAATCTAACATTATCAGTGTTGTCAGAAGTGGTTTAGCGAAATTGTTTCTTGACCAAAATGTGTATCTAGAGTTCCGTAAATTCTTTTTCTTTGCCAAATCTATTAGTACGATAGTCGATAAAATTAACTAAGAACCGTGCTACAAATTCTAATTGGTTAATTTTAAGTAAAATTCTCAATAGCTTGATTATAAGTAAAGTCCTGATTGGTGACTTTGTCAAAAGCTTTGACCTTTACCACTTGTTTTTACCACTTGTCGAATAAAACAAAAGTGGACCTCCCGTCTAATTCGATAATGGCCATCCAAGTGAATCACGACAATTGACACATTTACAAAAAAAAAATTTCTTCACCGATAAAAGTTTCTGAGTAGATATACAACTTGGCATGAGCGACGATAAGTGTTTCAGAAACAGTTTAACAAAACTGATTTGATGTTCAGTGTGGTGGTTCTCACAAGTGTAATGTGAAATTATCATCTCTGGATAATATGTGTTTAAAGAATAATAATAATAGTAATAATAAAAGAATCGTAAATGAAAAAAGGGTAAAAAAAATTACAAGATGAGGAATACGAATAGAATGAAGAGTAGTAGAAATACAAAGACTAGTAAAAGAATAAAAAAATAGCTAAGAGCAAAAGAAAAAAAGAACAAAGAATAACAGTGAATGTAATCCCAATGTAAATGCATTGGAAAAAAAGCGAAGGGATTTTCTCAAAGAAAAAAAGGGATCAAAAGAAAAAGTCCGAGTACTCTTGGAATACATATCGATATAGGATTTGATGTTTCTTCTTAACGAGGGAGAAAGAAAAATGTCTTCTATAATGAGTGTTTAATGTGTTGTGCATAGGGTGTATTATTCAAAAGTGTGTTTATATAAAACACAAAAATAAAAAATTGGTTCAAAAAAAAAAAAAAGTGGCGGATGAAGAAGAATCGAAAATGCAGGTGGATAAACGGAATATCGGATAGATTAGATGTCCGAGGTGATTATTTGTTGGTTTTGGGAGCGCACGGGGCCGTGCTGGGCATCTTGCACCACCCCAAGTCTCCCGAGTGAAAAAAAATTAGTGTCAATTTTTTTCTTTTTGGTTAAAAAAGTGTTTTGTTGGCATTTAGTGTCGTTTAAGTGGGAGCCTCTGCCGAGAGGTTCCTTATTAGTGTACGAGGCTGGCGAGCGCGATGTGGCAAAGCGGGGGCATGGGCACCCATGCGGCCAACAACCCATGGATGAAATTAATGGGTATTGTGCACAGCAAGGAACGAAGACATCACGAATCTGGTACCGGTTCTGGAACGCAAGCAACTGGAACCAATCTCAATGTCGAACGAGGTCTCAATCAGTGAGTTGTTCTTATTATTCATTATTATTTGTTGCATATTGTATAATCTCAGGGTTGCCACGGTTCTGCTCATTTCAAATTCCCTGACTTTTCCAGGTTTTCCAGGTTTTTAACACTACATTTACATGTTACAAAATTTAATAATTAGTCATTATAATTTTTCCATAAGATTTTCAAAACATTCAAATTCAAACCTTTCTGAAATTAAACAATTTATAAAGAATTATTATAAAACATGAAGAAATCGATCACTCCGAGTCTTCGAATCGGAGCAATCGATGTCTTCATGTTTTATAATAATTAAAAATGACCGACTGATAAAATCATTATTTTATATTATAAGAATATTGTTTACTCTAACTTCTTCAAAATTACTTTCATCAGTTTAATTCAATTATTGTTTTCCAGAATTTTCAACTAAAATTCTTCTTTATAAAGTTTACATTAATTATTTTTAATAATTTTTGAAAATTTTTTTTGAAAATTTACAAATTCTTTTGTTTGCAATTCAATTTGATGAAATTTCATCGATTATTCGGAAGTTCTTCAATCAAATATATATTAGAGAGTAAAAACTTCAAATAACTTAAAAAAATTCAATTAAACTATTTCAAAAAAATTAAATCTACACAATTTTTAATTCAAAGTATGAAAAATTCACACATTCAAAGATTGTAATTTGAAACCTTTTCAAAATTCAATTACTTCTAAAAATTCAAGCTATAATACATTCTCTATAAATTTGAATTTGTAAAAATGTTTACTAATTGAAATTAGTGACTGACTTTTTGCTTTTGAATTAGTAAATTTTACTATTAAATTAGTAGAAACGACTATTTTTAGTCAAATCTGCTAATTCAAAAGCAAAAAGTCAGTCACTAATTCAAATTAGAAAACATTTTTACTGATTCAAATTTATGATCCACAAGTTTTGAACGTTCAAATGAACGAAATACTTTTTATTAGAAATGTTTTTATAATTTATTGTTTGCAATAAAAATTAAAAACTTAAATTTCACACTTAGAAACTTTATATTTCATTTATTTTATATCGATAAAAAATTATTGTAATAAATATTTAAATTAAAGAAGAAAAAAAATAAATTTCGTTCATTTGAACGTTCAGAACTTTAGGATCATTCAAATTTAGAGAGTTGAATATTCAATTATTATCTAAAATTTTAACTGATATTCATATTTAAATCAATTTTTATTAGAAAATTCTACGAGAATGTAATTATTTAAATACAAAAATAAATAATTTATTGAAAAATTAAATGTTTTTTTAAAATTCAACTCTCGTAAAGAATTTTATAAACAAATTTTTAAATAGTTAATTAAAAATCTTTTGACCAATAATTTGAATTTTCGAGAAATTATATTAAAATTGTAGTATTAAAAATAATTGAATCTCTGTAAAAAAATTTGATTGTTCTGCGAAAAGTTTTTGAAAATAATTGAAATTTTACCAAGAATTTTATTATAAAATTAAAATTTATTTTTGAAAATAATTGAATTTTGAAGAAATATTTTATTATTTATAAAGATAATTGAAATTTTGAAGAGAATTTTTTTAAACTTTTGACCATAATTGAATATCTACGAAGAATTTTATTACTTTTGAAAATAATTGAATTCTTGAGACGAATTTTATTAAAATTTCTTTTTAAACAATTGAATTCTTTTGTGAAATTGTAGTAGATATTGAAAATAATTGAATTCCGATAAATTATTGAAATTCATTAAATTTCGACGTAGAATTTTATTAAAATTATTTTTAAAAAAAATTGAATTGTTATAAAGAATTTCATTAAAATTTTTTAATATAATTTAATTCTTTCAAGAAATTGAATTTCTTTGACGAATTTTAATAAAATTTTTAAGAATAATTTCATTTTTCGATAAATTAAATTAAAATTGTATTAAAAATAATTGAATCTCTGTAAAAAATTTGATTGAATTGAGAAAAGCTTTTAAAATAATTGAAATTTTGCCAAAAATTTTATTAACATTTTTGAAACATTTTTTAAAATAATTGAATTTTGGAGAAAAATTTTATTATTTATAAAGATAAATTAAATTTTGAAGAGAATTTTTTTAAAACTTTTAACCGTAATTGAATTTCTGCGAAGAATTTTGTTATTTATGAATTACGAAGATAATTGAATTCTTTCGAAGAATTTTATTAAATTTTTCGAAAATAATGTATCTTTTGCACAAAATTTTGTTATTTTGAAGATAATTGAATTCTTCCAACGAATTTTATTAAAATTTCTTTTTAAACAATTGAATTCTTTTGTGAAATTGTAGTAGATATTAAAAATAATTGAATTTCGATAAATTATTGAAATTCATTAAATTTCTGCGTAGAATTTTATGAAAATTATTTTTTAAAAAAATTGAATTGTTATAAAGAATTTCATTAAAATTTTTTAATATATAATTTAATTCTTTCAAGAAATTGAATTTCTTTGACGAATTTTAATAACATTTTTAAGAATAATTTCATTTCTCGAGAAATTAAATTAAAATTGTATTAAAAATAATTGAATCTCTAAAAAAAAATTTGATTGAATTGAGAAAAGCTTTTTAAAAAAATTGAAATTTTGACAAAAATTTTATTAACAGTTTTGAAACATTTTTGAAAATAATTGAATTTTGGAGAAAAATTGTATTATTTATAAAGATAAATTAAATTTTGAAGAGAATTTTTTTAAAACTTTTAACCGTAATTGAATTTTTGCGAAGAATTTTGTTGTTTATGAATTACGAAGATAATTGAATTCTTTTGAAGAATTTTATTAAATTTTTCGAAAATAATGTAACTTTTGCACAAAATTTTGCTATTTTGTAGATAATTGAATTCTTGATAAGAACTTTTTTATAACTTTTGCAAAGAATTGAATTCTTGGAATCATTATATTAAAATTTTCAAGAAGAATTGATTAATTTTAAAGAATTTTATTTAGAACTTTTAAAAATAATTAAATTATTTCAAAAAATTTAATTAAAATTGTATTGAAAATAATTACATTCTTGAGAAGATTTTTAACAACAAATTCTTAAATAATTGAATTCCTTCGACGAATTTAAATAAAAGTTTTAAGAATAATTGCATTTTTCGATGAACTCGATTATTACTGTATTAAAAATAATTGAAATTCTGCGATGAGTATTATTAATTATAAAAATAATTGAATCTGTTTAAAAAAGTTTGATTATTTATGGAAAATAATTGATTTATATTAAAATTGATTATATTTAAATCGAATAAATAAATTAATTTAATTAATTAAAGATTAATTGGGCAATTTAATAAACTATATTTCTAAATTGTTTTGCTTAAAGTTTAAAGAACATTTTAGCCATCTTAAATACATTTTCACGTTGTGCTGTGTTTTTTGCGAATTGCATTTCTTTTAAATTAAAAACAAAAAGTCAAATGTTAAATGTTATTTGATTAAATTTATTAATAATTATTAAAAAACAAACACAAATCGAATTATATTTAAAAAAATATTGAAAAATGTACATATTTAAAAGAATATTTTAAAAATCCAAAAATAAACTTTTGTTAAATTAACCGGAAGCTTTGATTAGCTTTCATTTAAATGAAAAAGATTTTCTATTTCCTATTGTGTAATATTTACAAAGAATAATGTAATTCTTCTGCATTGCAGTGAAAAAGTTGAAATTTTATTATTCCTTTCGAGTTCACTAATTTTGTAGTGCCTTTTATATTTGTGTTAAGAGAGAGAAAGAGAGTATTTCAGATTTCCAGCTTTTCGTAGAAAATGCTTGTGATCAAGTGGAGGAAATGATTTAAAAGAAAGAGAAAAAATATATGAGGAGAGTCGTGTAGAATTAAAGTTGAAAATTACCTTCAAGGGAAAAAAAATTAACTCTAGAGAAAATTTTTGCCCCTTAAATTTCTCTGGGAAAAAAAATTGTAATTATAATTATATTTTCAACTTCATTTTAACTGATTTTGCTTAACGTTTAACTGAAAAATTTTTCTTAAACAGTTGACTTTATTTTATGAAGAAAAAAAAGGTTTTGTTATAATATTGTTAGTAAAAAAATATTCAATAAATATTATAATGAAATATTGGTAATAAAATACTCGTAAAATATAGTAATAAAATATTTAATAAATATTATAATGAAATTTTTTGAAGTAATAAAAATTTAATAATTTATGAATAATTTTAAAGACTTGTCTATTTTTGTGCAATGGAAATACCTACTGAGTGGGTGGAAAGTGGTTATTGAAGAATAGGTTCGAGATCAAGTGCGATCTGCAATATACATTGCATATTATATATATAGATAAAAGACAATTGAAAGCATCCGATGGTACGATATGTAAAATTAAATTGAAAATGCTTATTCAAATATTCAAGTTGAAGTTTTATGAAACGTAAACAGTAAATTATTGTCTATATTGCCCTGGAGATAAAATTTAAAAAACTTATTATAGTCGCATGATTCTTTTTTCAAAATTGAAATTTTCAAAAAATAACTTTCAATATTTATATAGAAATATTTAGGTATATACATTTTTTTTATTAAAAAGGAACAGTGAACAGGTTTTATTTATAATACCAAATTTTTTCATCTGGGAAATATCAAATGATTTTTTGGAATATAAGAAAAATTTAAAAATTGGAGAAAAAAATTTTTTTCTGTAAGATATTGAGCTAAGAAAAAGTGTGGCCCACAATACCCCAATCTCCCTTACTAATTAATAATTATTATTATTCTAAATTTGGGTTAATAAAAATGTTTACTAATTTGAATTAGCAATTAGAAAACTCTAATTATCAATTTAAACATATATTTAGTTAATAATTAGAATTTACGTTATTAAAATAATTTGAATTGCAGATTAATTAAACAGAATTGTACGAATTTATTTAGACGTATATGTATGTTAAAAGATAGAAAAATTTGTCTAAGTATAAAAGAAATATATGCATATAAAATATAAATATTAATTA